TTGATCTCTTTCCAACACCACGAGGAGCTGGAGACCTCAAATTTGCAAATCTCTGCGCGGGGTCATAATCGATACTACGGTTCTTCGACCAGGATTTCACAGAAATGTCGTATTTCTCTGGCTCGCAATCCTAGAAGGGTCTTCTTTCTCCGGACCGTGTGCATCTTGTTTCGGGCTCTCGGAGGATATCATTCTTCGACATCTCTCTCGAAGCTTAGGATTATCGATAAGAAGGCTTAACTTTTAATTTCGAGCACGCTAAAGCTCAACTACGTCCGGCCGTTTAGCGGGCAACTGCTTTTCAACAAGTGTAGAAGACTTCGTCTAGGGTGATTTTCTCGACATAAGCTAATGGGTATGAGCGTCTCGCTGGGTTCCTGGTGCTGATATTGATCTCTTCTCGTGCGTGGTTTGTTATTCGATGGAATAATGACAGTACCGGTCTGTCATAGCAATGCGAAGCCAGTTTTTCCGCTCTTAGGAATGGCGGTTTGCATATCAAAATTACTCCGAGGATACGAATCTTGTAAGCCGGGCGACGTGAAATATTGGGCTGGAAAGTAACTCATGAAGCAAACGTATTCTTTATTGAGAATTATGCGCAAACACCGTGCAAATCTCCTCTTGATGAGCTGTCTCGCAGTTTAACCGTTTTATCTCCTTAGCTGATAGTTTGGACAGGAACATTGCTTTTCTTTCTCGCACACGGTACCATAGCACCACTGACGTACTAGCTGTTATGGTGTACTTCCCCTGGCTACGGCGGAACTTCTTAACAAATCGTGCGTATCATTGTTCAAATGTTTCTTTCAGGCTTGTGAAGTCTGCGTTGAGCAGAACGACCCCATCACGCGAGAGCGAAAGCCGTGCGGAAAGCCACTCGTGTTGATGAACACGTATTGCTCAGTAATTCCCCAAAAGCCTCGAGCAAAGCGTGGACACTGGTTAACTTCAAATGAAGAGAAATCAAATTATCGCCGCCTCCACTTTTGGACCCGTCGCCTGTCCCTCTTCCATTTTAAACGCAGGAATTCTATCTTCTCTTCTTGGTGAAGGCTATTTCACCGTCCCTCCTCGGCTGTTCGTGAATTAAATCCGAATGTCGCGTATCCTCCAAATAGTTACTTCTCGACCATGTGCACGAGCAGGTGGATTAAGCACCAGTGGAGGAAGTGTGGCTTGAAGCTGTGCAAAAAGGAGAGTTATCTGCGTTCCCAACTCATTTGTTGAAGCGCAACTTCAAAGCATCTACGCATGCAATGACGATGCATCAAGTGAATTCCGAAAATGAGCAGTCTTTCCCTCTATACATAGGGAATGTGTATGCGATCGATGGAAGAGGGAGTTAGTAGCTACTGCTCGGCAGAACGATGTTGTATCCCCTGAGACTGTCAAAAAGAGGACACGAGTTGGGCGCGGGAGCCATCGAGCTAGGCCAGATTCGAGTCGACTATGCAATGTGAGCAGCACGGTACTAGACAACAACGGCAAGGGATTAATGGTTTTGGATATACCACCGCTACACTTGTTGGGGCAGAATCATGCACAGTCAGGGATGTCCAAGGTTTGAACCTGAATACCGCGACGGCATGGTTGGGAAAGGAAGAAAGGATCTGGGAGAGACGTTTGAATCGGTGGCAAGGGCATCCTCCGAGTACGCGTCGACGGTGGCAGCTCTCTGTGACCTCAGAGTCGTCCGTTTCTATCCATCTTGAATATAGTTCCCCTGGCATCTATCTGTCGCCTATTCGCGTTAGTCCATAACTGTCACATGATCAAAAGGGATTGATATGTGCCGGCCTAAACGGCGAGCGCAGTGGGAGGAGAGAAAGAGAGGGTGTCAGCCCCGGATCCGATCTCGGGCCGACGGCGCTTAACTGTGCCACGTGAACGCATTCAACCCTAACACCTTGAGCAAACCGAGCCCGTATCAGTTCAGTGTTATTATTTTGGAAAAAAAAAGTAAAAAGTATGAATTAATACTAAGCCAATGAAGTCAAGTAGGCTAGCTGTAATAACGCGGGTTCGACTCCCAACTTGGCCTTGTCTCGCTGAAATATAGTTTTGTGTCTAGATCCTTTTCACTCGGCATTGAGTTTTGTTGATCGCATTGGTAAAGCTCGAAGGCGTACACCTGCAGTTTGATATGCCGCTTCTTGAGGGAGAGTCACATTCCCAAAATGAAGGTCCATTTCCCTTCCCAGGCATCAAGTCTGACAAGTAGAAATGTTTGCCCATTCGCGATATTACCGGTCAAGACGAGATAGATAGACATCCCAGAAAATACTTGGTCTGCAGCTCGAGAAACCCTCCGGTGCGTAAGGCGCACGTTGGAAAAGGAAATGGATGAAGGGTCCTAGACCGCTTTATCGTTTTGCGAATGTGTGCGGATCAAATGACAGTCGGCCGCTGGCTCGATAAGTCAGTTCTTCAAGGCCGGGCCTCAACGCCTCACAGGCGATCATCTCGCCAGGTTTTGTTTATCTTTCCGCATCTTTGTGATTAACCCTGCGATGACCGTATTTCACAAGGATCTTAATGGGTAAGTCAAGCCCATGATAAATCGCACTCGAGATATTATTGACACTCGGCTTAGAATAAGTAATTAGTTCTTGAGATAGTAAGGAGTGAAAAACCAAGGACTATACTTCTCGTACAGATGTGTTCTCTCGTCTGTAAGAGTTCGCTTTGGCTAGTTTCAAGACTGAGCGGGTGGTTCAGAGGGAAACCGAGGCAGAATCGAGGTTGGACTAAGATATAAAAATAACGGGCTTTACATATGCGATTAGCTCAGTTGGTTAGAGCGTTGCGTTAATATCCTAGCAAGATGTCCGTTCTGGGTTCGATCCCTACGAACATGTCCATCATCGTTGTTACTGCTTTTTTTTAAAATATACGTTTCTCGCTAACGTTCCATTTTCACCATTCACCGTTCACCGGTGTTCTAGGTTCCTCCTTGCTACAGGAAAACGTATGCTGTATTTCGAAAGTGGACATGTACATAAAGCGCTGACGAATCAATTGCTTATCGTGTATTGCTAAGAATGGCCGTGCTCATGTTGGCACGCTTTCTGTAATATCACAACTTCGAAATCGTTGGGAGTAGTGATTTTTTTTTTTTACTTTCAAAAGGTACATTCAACAACCATTATATTCAATGGTAGTATCCTACTTGTACCGTAACTGGTGAATAGCCATATGGAAGTCCGTAGTGATTCTTTTAGCACATCGGGAAATAAATGTACTAGACTACTGCATTTTCACACCACCATTTGTCTGGATTCCAATAGGTGTCGAAGTATGGGTTCGATCCCGACGCGGGTAATGATTTCCTCATTCGTAAATTCTCAGTCTTTTTTTTTTTCACCCATATAGCGCTTGCTTCTTTAGGTCGAGATGGATACGATGTGCTCAACTGGTTCCTCCGAACACTCGCACGATCATCCAGGGTAACTCTACCATTTTTCCAATTGAATCTTGGGTAACTAACTCAGCGGGTTGGGCGTTCTAATCCGGGTTCGACTCCCATATCTACGTAGTAAATCCTTTTGATGCTGGCTTTCAAATGTGGCCAGGAGGATGTATCGTTCCCTTCCCGTAGCATTAAGTCGAACTGTGTGATGTTGGTGGTAGATGGACACACGAGCTCAAACGTGAGCAATGAAATCCTTCATATGCGATCAATTCGAATTCTCTGCATGGGACAAAGGTCACACCATTTCTTTTCGTTTCTGGGATGTGACCGCTGATTAAGGTTAAATACTAATAGCAACAACGCATCAGGCAACTTACCTGGATGTAACATAACGCAAAACTAAATCTTGGGTTCCATCCCCTGGTTGGCTGCTCGGATAGAAACAGTTCGCTAGCTTTTTATCTCCAATGTTTCTTTTCACTGCGATGCCGAATCGTCTGGGAAATTTATCCTGCTGCATGGTAAACATGTACTTTCTCTACAAATCTCACCGATCCCGCAGATCGACGATGCAGAATGCATAGGATCACAGAAGCTCCGAGATTGTGGCGTATCTATACACGCCTGCTCTCTGGGCGACTATTCCACCACTTAAGGACATCAAGCCAGCCGGCTGATTCAGCTAGAGTTAGAGCTAGGTTCGGTCTTCTCACTGTGAGTAAAGTCAGAGAGGAACATTGTATCTCGATCTCGGAGGTTATCAATCAGCGTCTTGGTACGAGAATGCGCTATATACAACATGTAGCAAAGCAGAAGCCTTGAATTGATTTTTCTACCGTCTGCAGTCAGTTGTAAAAGCAGAGCTGCCTTCGAAGTTCAGTCTTGAGAAGCACCGAGCTAGCTGAGACAGCTCGGCCTGTCGCACGTTACCCACTCACTTTCATGTGGCATCATGCGAACAGATGTAAGTGCCCTCCTTGTTTATGAGTCTTCGAAGTGGTGAACTTGGATCTCCTTCCGGATTCGTTCCACTGGAATAGGGAAAACCCGTGTTCCATGTTCGTGGGGTTGCCTAGACGAAACTAATTAGTATTACTCTCATTTGCATCGAGGTCACTCACACAAAATAGCGTGCCTGCCTGTAGAAACTGAATCTGGTAACCTACGCTACCAACGAGGGTATCAGGATAATGTCGACGTATACGGGAGAAAGACGAACAGAGGACATCCTCGCCAGTCAAAAGACATGCGCATCGCGTCCCATCCGCCTGATCTTGCGCATGTATCTATTTTTTCACAAGTACTAGTAAACCGTAATGGGAAGAATGTGTTATTTGAACTAGGCGCATATATCAGTCTACGTAAACGAGTAGGAAAAAACAGGGACCTTACCCTGTGGCAGATACCGCTTCACTGTCTGGTTCATCCTGAACCATCAATCGTCCCTCCGTTCCTCGACCATGTTATCCACCACCGTCCCGACTGGACATTGCCAGAGTGGAGTCCTCTTGGCAGCCGGCCGCTCACGCCTTCCCCAAAGCCGAGCGAGGCAAGAACATAGAGATACCCAGCAAAGAAGCGAGGCTCACAACTGTTGGAGAGCGTCAGGGAGTGGAGAGGCCATAATACGGGTGGGCAGTACGAGATTATGACGAGTGCCTTGAGTGAGATAAAGTCCTTGGCAACTGAGGGAGCTGAGGGTAGGATAAGTTATGAATTGCAAGTTATCGATATAAAGCGCAGCACATACTTGACAGTCAAGAGAGCATGATTATGATCCTTCAGATGGCGCGAGGAGACTGCAGATTCTGACGAGATCAAGGAATGACTCTGACCAGTAACTTTAGTCCAAGTAACCTTCAAAGGCATGAACCTCGTGAAATTGAGCACCGCAAAACGCGCTTATGCTTACCCATTTCTGCGCTAGCCGGAGAAACGCGATGTTCTCCCTGTCCCTCCATATCGTGTTCACGAAAAGAATAGACATGGCGGGCGAGGAGGAGGTGAGATGATGACGTCGGTCGAAGAGACGCGTTGCTCGTTCCTGTTTTCCCCATCCGATGAGTTCCCACTTGTAGTAGTGCTGTGCCGATATGTGCCGCCTAGATCAGTTGGTGAGCTTTACGAAGATGCTCACTGCAAGGTAGCAAGCGCCTACCTAGGTGTACCACCGCCATTGGGCAAACTGAGCCAAATACATGGAGAAAGTGTTTCTTTCAAGGGATGTAGCGCGTTGGGCGTTCAGTACTCAGTCAACTAGCAGAGACTGCGCAAGGCCTGTTGCTTGTGATGCGTCGATTGAAGGAATGCGTATACGATCGATGGAAGAGGGAGTTACTGAATTGTTGCTCGGCAGAAACGATGGCGTATCGCTTGGACCTATCAGAAAGAGGACACGAGTCGGGAGCCCTGGAGCAAATGCAGATTCGATTCGATTCAACGACATGAGCAACCCGGTGCCAGACGACAATAACGGCGGAGGTCAAGAGTTTCGGCGCTACACTTGTTGGGGCAGTGCAACCAGGAGTTTCCCAGATTTGGATCTGAACATCGCAATCGCATGGCGAGAAAATGGAGAAAAGATTTAGAGGAGGCGACGGCGGGAGTATCCTCCCAGTCCGCGTCGACGGTTGTGGCTCTCGGCGTCCCCAGAGTCGTCAGTTTCTATCCATCTAGAGAATAGGTCCTTTGACGCTCGTCGAACTTCTAGTCACATACGTTGGTCCATAGCTGTGGTAGAATCGAAAAGAGCTGATACGTGCCAGCCTGGATGACGAGCTCAAACTTGAAGGGAAAGAAAGGAGGGTGTCAGCCCTGGATCCGATCTCGGGCCGATGGCGCTTAACTAAGTCACGTGAATGCATCCAACCTTCCGTCAACACCTTGAACATCTTCAAGTTGAGCTCGCATCAGTTCAGTGCGTTATTATTTTGGAAGTGTGAGTTGATACTGAGCCCATGAAGCCAAATAATTTAGATATTATAGTTCGGGTTCGATCCCCACATTGACCATGTCAGTGATGTCACCGGTATTATGTCTAGATCCTTTTGACTACGACTTTGAGTTTTGTTAATCGCATCAGTAAAGCTTGTAGGGTTACACCTGGCATCTGACATGCCGCTTCTTGATATCGTGTCGCATTCCCAGAAAGACGGACCATTTCCTTCCCCAGGCATCAAGTCTGACAAGTAGAAATGTTGTCCAAGTTCGGCATGATAATGCCCCCAAAGACGAGAGACATGATAAACGATAAAATAGACAGCGCAGAAAGTACTCGAGTAGATATGTGAGATTGAAAGTAGTTAGGCTTCAACTCGAGCGACACTCCAGTGCAAAAAGCTCACATTGGATGTATCGCTATGAGGAAATTGGATAAAAAGGTCTAGACAGCTTTATCGTTTTGCGGAGAGTGTGCTGATCAAATGACAATCGGCCGCTGGCTCAATAAGTCAGTTTTTCATGGCGGGGCCTCACAGGCGATCATCCCATCAGGTTTGTTATGTTTCCACATCTTTGTAGCGGTCAGACCACCTATAGCCCTAAGTGCGCAAGAGAAAGAGACTTCAAGTCCATGGTAAATCGCGCTCAAGATATTATTAAGCTCAGCTGACTCGATCCACCAAGTACCTAGATCTTGGGGTGGGAAAGAGTAGACAAAACCAAGGACCATCCCTCTCCTGTGCATGCGAACAGTGCTTTGCCGTTTGTAGAGCATACTTTGGGTAGTCGCAAGGATGGGTGGCTCAGAGGGAAACAAAGATGTAATAAAGCAAAAATCTTTAGGGCCGAATAGTTCGGTTGGTCAGAGAGTCGTACTAATACTAGGTCTTTAGGTGCTATTAACGCGACGGTCTTGGGTTCGATCTCCACGTTGGCCGGTATCCGCTGTTGCAGTTCATTTTGTCAATTTTGTTTAAATGTTTGAAGTTCAAACTGTCGGGCGAGGGGGGAGAGGTAAGTTACTGGTAACTACCGGTAGTAAAGTCAAATGTGTCGAAACCTAGGTTTCGTGCGCTACGATACTTGAGTCTCGACTTAATGCTGCCAACCTGGTGCTCGGTGCTCAGTGCTTTTAAAACTCGTCTCATTCACGACTCGCTACAGAACCTGGGGCTGTGTATCTGAGTACTTCTCCAAAGTGACATACACATTTAAGTATTGTCCGCACGGTGAGGCAGAAAATTTAAGCAAAGCAGACACAGTTAAACCTTACTGGTCGCCTCCCTCAGTGTAAGTATTAGCGTTGTCGAGATAGGTTCGATCCCTGTCTTGACAGATGACTGGCAGCAATGGCCATTACAATATCTTGGAATCTCAATTGCTCCTATGGCGCGATGAATCTACCATGACGGATCTCAGGTTGCGCACTGAACTTCCATTGGCGGTAATCTACGACTTTATACAGGGCCGAGGGTTATAGGAAACCTATCTACCGGTAGAAACTCCCAGTTGGCTGGAGTGGCTAAGACGTGTTCGATTCGCACGTCGGCAAATGTATAGCGTCATTACATGACTTTGTTGAAGTCTTTCCGCAAGGGTCGAGGCGACCCGTGAGCTATCCCTTTTGCCGACACTCGCCGATTGCTTTTCTTCTTCATGTGGAACACCAAGCTCGTCAAATAGGGTTAGGAGCGAGGCTAGCATCTGTCGTTCCTTACTCCTGATACTCAAAAACCCTCCAGAAGATGCGCGTTTCCTCCTCATAAAAAGATACATAATGTCATAAATAGAAACACGTGCATCTGGTATAAAGTGGTATATATAGAGAATAAACCCGCCAATATGGATGATAAATAATCAACTTGATGTCCAGAAGGAGAAAAAATAAGAATAGTCGGGTCACTTAAGTATAAGTTATATTCACAGCTGATCGGAGGTGAGGTTCCCGTAAATCGGACAGAGTTGGTCCCAAGCCGCTAAAGAATTCCTTCTCAGTATCTCTAACGGGATGAGGTAAAGGAGAAATCATACTCGGCATGTCTTGCGTCTGAATCGTGTCGACGTCCTCGGCGAAAACGACCGCGAGACCGCTAAGGAGAGGGAAGAAGTCAGCTCTGGAAAGAATGGAAGAGTAGATGAGAACTCACATCTCTAAATGCCAGTCGATATGGCTGATACAGCATGGTTAGCATTCGTGTATCTTTCAGTGAGAAGTAAGATATTGATTTACCAGTGCAGGAACCAAGGACCGGCGTTGTCGGTTGTGAAGCGGATAGTAACGTTGTCAGTGCCAGAACCGGTGGAGACTACGTCTCTTCGAACCTGGAGAGAACAATTAGTTATCTATCCCCCATGAAGGAAGGGATGAGTAGCCAGGACTGACCGGGTTCACGTAGTTGTATTCAGTGCTTCCTGCGCTTCGTACGACGTCAAAGGTATGCTAGAAAATGGGATTCATTACCAAGTTCGCAAAACAGTGGAGAATTATCTTACACCATGAAGATGGAAGGGATGCTGGAGACGAAAGGTCAGAATGAGAGTGCATAATGAGATAACAATTCGAATACTTACGGGACCGCCAACCGCCAACGCCGGAGCGCTTATCTCAATGACTTTATTCGGCGGGAGAGTATACACGCTCCCAGCAGGAAGCAAGTTCTGCGCAGTATTAGCTCCGCTCAAGATCTGCAAAAGCACTGGAGCGGTAGGCGGGATGAAAGATGCACCGTTGACCGTGAATTCAAAGTTATTGATATCGAACGCAAGAGCTAGGTTCAACGAGATGTCCGCCCCGCCAGCCTGCGGCAACCCCGGCGCACCAGGGTTCTCAAGCGGATGGAGGTTCGTCTCGAGGAGCGGTATGACGCTCGTCGTCTGATTACTCGTTGGGTCCACCCCGGACGGCGCCCCAACATAATGCACCACACCCGAGTTGATTCCACTCTCGAATCCCTGCGTCCCAAGGTTGGGGCTTGCGCGCATCCAGTAATTGCTGATCCTTTGGTTCGCATTGAGGATGAGGGAGTACCGCTGCCCGGCGAAGATCTGGACGGAGTCGACGACGAGCGGCTGGGTGTTCACGCCATCGGCCTCGATGACGGTGAGGTTGTGCGAGTCGATGGAGAATACCCAGTTGGGGTCGCAGGAAGTGGCTACGAGGCGGAGGCGGTATCGGAGTCCGCGGACTACGTTTAGTTGGAAGAGGTCCGAGGCGGGCTGCGTTTGATGCTTAGGAAGGAGGAGCATGGGAGAAGGAGATAAGAGGTACTTACGCCGCCTGCATAACGTCCTTTACCTATTTTGAAATTAGGAATTTAGGGTTGGAATGATAAATTTGTTCTGACGTACCGTTGATCAGGGTAGCATCAAAGACGGGTACTGGCCCGGCTGCGAGGGCCGGAGTGTGGTACCTAGTGTGTTTCATCATGAGAGACTGTTGTTCGAGAGTCGGAAAGAAGTATTCACCAATCTGCGAGCGTGATCACTGTTGCCTCTGGAAGGCGTGTCAGTATGAAAATGTGACAGATCAGAAGGGAGAAATCTCAAACCGGTATCAACATCATAACGAGATCGGTGAGGATCATTGGGGTCGTAAACGACCATGGGTCCACGTAGACCGTCGCAATATTGCGTAGCTGAAATTATTGCGTTACAATTATGAGATGCGAAAACGAAAGGGAGAGACATACAGAGATGAGAATGATACCAAAATGTCCCCGCTTGATCGGGGACCGTGAAGTCGTATAGGAAGGAGTGGTTCTGCGACACGATCAGTGTATAAAGAGCGGCAATGGAGATTTTTCCCTCACGGCAGCGATGGGGCACTGGTTGACGAAACTAGGCCTGTGGTCGTGAGAGCGGTGAGATACGATATGTTACATGTCTGTTATATACTAACCCATCAGCCCAGGAAGATCCTTTCTGAAATAGACCATGCCAATGCTATTATTACGGTCGTCAGAGAAACCCAGACAGCACATCAGGGAGGAAGATATCACTTACGATACTAGTGCTTCTCAACATCGTATTGTCTGTCAATCTATCAAT